CTGCCGGTGAAGCCATTCAGCAGGTCTACGACTCCCGCATAGCTGAAAAGGAGGCTGCCCGCCAGCAACAAGAACGGGCCCGGTGCTTGTACGAACAAATGCGTCTGGCGGAACTGCGTTACGCCAACAATCGACAACCCAGTTTCTGCACCGAAAGTGAATCCATCTCACCGGATGGAAAGAAGAAGAAGTCAGATGAGGACATCGATGAGGAGAGTGTCCACACAAAACTCCTGCATGGTTTCAACATCAGCACCAAACTGCCCACTGGACGCATATCTACTCTGTCAGAGGGTCTCCTGGAGATGCCGGAGGAGATGATTCGGCTGCAGAGTCATCGGGTGCCTGCGCCTACCATTGAAGCCACCTACTCTGAGGCCTCTGAACTCCTAGCCACGCATCTGAACAAACTGGATGATCGGAAGTTTATTTATCAACACGGCGATGCTACCAGTAGAGAGAAGGGCAAGAAGCAGTAAACTACTGCTCAAACAGGGCGCTGCTCTGTTTGAACAGATATTTGTGTGCATACTGCAAACTTATGCATCAGCACATGCGTGTGTGTGTACAATTATAAAATACGAAAATGCAACGATGCTCTGAACCAGCGCGCTCTTTGAAAGCACTCGACCCTATGACGCATTGGTCTTAAAGGCTTCTCTATCTCCGCGCGGGTAGGCTTGCGTCGAAGATAACCAAACTTACGCTAAATAATTAATTAAGGGCCAAAAATAGCTCCGTCTGTTTGAAAAAGCAACGTAATTCCTGAAATAGTTCTATCCGTAATAGTAGCGATTCCCAAGTAGTAAGTCAGAAGGAGGAAAGGCGTTCACCTGGAGAATTTTTTTTATCTGACGTTTCGGATATAGGTCTCGTTTATCCATCTTCAGAGAGTGAATACTCTGGCTCCTGGCTCTCGCTATATGCGGCTCCTTTCTTCCATGGCTATGCACGAGCGTTCACTGGACGAAATCGTATGCCACCAAAAACGCAGCCAGAGGAAAGTTGCTTACCACAGGCGTGGCGGAGCATCCCGTACATGAAAGGGGGGCTCCGAAACCGTGGCTAGATCCCTCGCGCGTCTCGGAGTAGGGAGTGACCCACAGGCCTGCCACCAAAATCCGGCAACAAGTAATGCGGCCGAAAGAACCTATACCGAAACAACAGTTTCGGGATGTGCAACTACGTTGGAGAAACCGGCCGGCAGCTACAAACGCGAACGCATGAGCATCAGCTGGCGGTAAGAAGGCTGGACTCAAAGTCGGAGGTAGCAACCCATGCTGCAGAGATGAGGCACGTCTTCAACTTTGACGCCGTCAAAATTGTATGCCGAGGTGATGATCACACATTGAGACAGATTAAAGAAGCCTGGATGTCGACTGACTGTTCGGTAAACCGTCACATATATTTGCCGGCCTCCTATTTTGTGTTAAGGGCAGTCTTAGCAGGGGACGGTCACGACACGGAACAACCGGGGCCATCAACCAGTGATTCGCTCAAC